GATATCTTGTTCTTTAGTTCCAGTAGTGTATCGAACTTCATTTGTAAAACTGCGTGGGATTCGCATAACGCGTTGTATTGTGCTTTATCGACGATTATAGCGCCTTCGGGGAGACTGGGCACTTCTTTCTCTGTCGTTGGCCGAGATTGTTGAAGTGTTTGAATAATGGCTTGCATTTCCGGAAGCTGTGTCTGGACTTCAGTGCGCCACATCAAGGCCTCTGCAGCATACTTCTCTGCTTCTTGACGAGCAGCTTCTCGTTCTTCGCGTATCCGAGTGACGTCCTGATTGAGCTCTTCAATAAATTTATTAAGGGTTTGCACTTGTTCATTGAGTTCAGTAATAAGATTATGTGCGTCTCTGTTGGTGATGATATGTTTCGCGACTTCGTCCTCTAAGCGGAGGATGCGGGTATGAGCCTCCGCTCGTTGAGCACGTCCTTCAGGAGACCACATTTTATCGGTTCGGATAACATGTACAGCTTCGTCTACATTGCGAAACCCCAGCAGCCGGGCTAGATCCATTGCTTGGTTCTCTTCGGAATAAATCTTCGTACGAAATTGACCATTCTCTGTTTGCATACCCTTGATCTGGAAAGTATTTAGTTAAGAGTAAAGAAGACAGCACACTAAATTGCATGCCTGGTTACAAAATCCTATAACGGAATGAAGAACCATTTTAGAACATTATCGTATTCAATCGATCAGGGTGACGTACGTTTGTTCTCGTATTCCAATAGCTGACACCTCTCCCGCAGCTCTTTCAACTTCTTCGTTCCTTCCAATATGGCGTGGAAATCTTCTACATCGACAACTTCTGCATCGGATGAGGGCATGAGGTGGCTCAAGCTGTTGACGCGTCAGAGAGAAATGAGCGCGTCTTCCCGTTCGCGTTGTCACGCGTGACTGTCCCCTTCGTTATTCTTCCGTTCCATTGCTCCATTATGGCCGAGAGCGATATATCCCGCGTACAGGTCGAGCGCATTGAAGATTGGAGAGTCGTCGAAGAGAAGTTTATGGAAGCTATGATGAATACGTTAGCGGAGAAGTTGGCGCAGAGTTCGTCGCAACATGTACGGGAAGCCGTAACGGCACATCTTATGGATGTGAGTTGACGTGTTTATTCGCATACCAGCTTACATCTGACGACTCACTACAGTGGAAGAATCGTACTTTTGAAGCTGCAAAACTGAATATACGTGTAAATGGTCGTAACCTTGAGGACTGCGCTGAAGGGGAGGAAGAGGGTATGGACGCGCGTTATCCATGCATATTTATCGCGGTCTAACAATAGGGATAGAGACAGAGCCGTTTGATGAAGTACTGGATCGCAGAATATGGACTCTAAGCTCAGAACAAATGCAGTGGGACAAGCTAATCGCCGAGCGTCGACGGGAGGGTCCTTCCGAGATTGAAGAGCTTGTCCGTGACTTAGTTGTGCGGCAACGTGCAGGAGAATATGATGCAGCACCAACGGATGAGCCCGTTCCAGAAGATACTAGCATATGTACGCGGTTTCATTTGCCATCTATCATGCAACTAACGTTCGCTACAGCGCGATTACCCCGAGAAGCTGAAGTTGCCGATGTCTTCAAGCAAACTATGGATATCTACGAGGACACGAGGACGGTGAGCTGTACATTGTGTGTGACATCTATATGCTGACGCTAAACAATTCTGCAGAGAGCCTCTCAAGTTATGGAAAGGCAGCAGCGGGCTGACGAGGTCACACAAGAACTCCAACGGCTACCCTCGTAGGTCATATCTGCCCGTTAATGCGCTTGTCTCGAATGATATTCTCTCGTTATTGAGTGTAATTGTAGTCAGATGTACTTTCATCTCTTGGGATTGTGTCCAGGTATCTTTGGACCTCAGAAAGATAACGCCAGCGGCGTCAATCCCCAAGTTCTTTCCACCGGATTTGACTTGTTTTATGTAGTTATTCTGTAAATTAGATATAATATATTGGAAAGCACAACTTGGTACCGTTTATTCAGTACTGTAAGCAGTAGAGTGAATGGTATATGATTTACAGGCGGATCATTTGTCTTGCGTAGGAATGTAGTGTATATAAGGCGTGTGCCTCGCACTTCTACAATGCGGCGATGCGAGGATATGATAGTTTCCATGACGAAATATAAAAGAACAATTTACATACGAGCCAGCTCGTCCATATAAGTCACCTACTCAGCACTAGACGACCTGTTATAACGTCACACACATCTTAGGCTTTCGTACAATCTTCCCCCATTTCCCCTTCATACTCTCCTTCAGAGCCGCGTTAAACACCTCTCTCACTCCTTGTCCTGTCTTCGCTGAGCACTCCATATATTTCGCCCCGATCTCCTTGGCGACAGCGTCGCCTTGCTCTGGCGTTACGGGCGTGGTACCTTGCGCACCAAGCATCCGTCTCGTTTGTTCGTCCTTTCGAAGGTCAGTTTTGGTACCGACAAGAATGAGTGGTGTGCCTTCGCAAAAATGCGCAACTTCGGGGAACCACTAGAAATAGAATACAAATCACAGTCATGAATGTCAGTTGACAATAGCAGTAGATTTACTCACTTTATCTTGGACGTTGGCAAGACTAGTTGGGAAGTCTATCGAGAACACAATAAGGATAACATCGCTTTCTGGGTAGCTGAGTGGTCGCAGGCGATCATATTCCTCTTGTCCGGCTGTATCCCATAATGCAACTTCGATAATCTTGCCATCGTATTTCACCTGGGTCACGTAGTTCTCGAATACTGTTGGTACATATGCCTATGCAAAGATAGTATAGTCAGTTATCAATAATTGTAGAATATATATGAGCATATTTGTTACCTCAGGGAAACGGTTCTCTGCGTACACGATTAGCAGACACGTCTGTCATGGTGTCAGAAAGTGCTTGAGCAGGCCAACGACGATGGTACGCGCCTTGCCACACCCTCCATCACCAACCACAACAAGCTTCCTCTTCAAATCCGGTCGTCGTGGTGCTCCTGTCATTGTAACTGGTTGGGTATCTGCGTCCATGGAGAAGGAACGTGATCGTTGAGTCGATCCGCCGTGCTGCTAAGCGAATAGTTAAGCAAAATGCGCGTTAGAGATGGGTTAAACGCTAGAACTACTTACATCCGACATAGGTATAGGGAAATGTAGTAGATATTGGAATGACAAAAGTTGTAAGTGAACGAACTTGGAGCGCGCAAGCAGCGCGTGCGTTGTTCCTGATTCACGTGACTGATACTAATTACTCTCCTTTGTTCAAACTCAAACCGTCACTGACAATTTACTGCTCAAGTGTACGATCAGCGTCAGAGATTGAAACCAGAAAGCCTCGAGGTTGGGTAAGATTAATAAAGGATATACAACCGGCAGTGCTATCTACTTTGCTCGCTTTCTTTCGTGGCTCCGCACCAGCGAACGCTGAACACGTTTCAGTAATATATGTTATTTCCCAATGGGAAAATCATACATTATTTAGTCTTCCCAAACTCTTGCAAAATCTGTCTTTTTCTAATTTGGCCGGGACGCATTCGTGTAGTAATCTCCAGGAGTCCCTGCACTATAGTGGCTGCAAGATATCAAATAAGTTCTCAGACTCCTTCCCAGTTCGCCCTCCAGCGTTATGCTCATAAATCAGTAGAGCGGGAAGTCTAATTAAGGGGTGGGAACAAAACTAAGAAAGGGAATTTCATTGAACCTCCGAAAACCCAATTCGCTCTAACGCTGTCGGGGTTTCAAATTTATTTCCTTTTCAAGAGAAAGTTCCCATGTCTCCCTCCCAAGAGTCGGAAGAAGTGAGTCAACGTAACGCAGCGACTGGGAAGGAGTCTGATAAGTTCTAACAACCTTGAGCGACTCGAAAGAACTTTTAGAAAGCCCTTGACTTAAAAAATTATTTGGGAAATCGGAGAGTAAGTACCCTTCAATACCGTATTTGTTGAGAAACTGCACATGACTATACGTTCTATTACTTTAGACTCCTTGAATCTTTCATCCGTCCATCAGTTGACCCACTGCAGCTATTATACCCAAGGGATCCCTCAGACGATTTAAAGTACTGCCCGAAGTAAATAGTACCTGTCGGACCTTCCGACGAATCGCCAACACTGATATCCTTATTCTTTCAACGTCTTAAGTAGATGAGATACAGACTCTTGTTCCGGGTGCGTTGATTATGACTTCCTATTTTGACTGATTGTTTCGTTCGTAATTGTTTAGATAAAACGCACGTCTCGGACAGCTAGTTTTCACTGCACCGTTACTTTGGATCTCAGGAGCTACAATAAAATTTCCGGGAGATCTGGCATAATTATCAAGATATTTATCACTTTGGGATGATTTCGGATATCTGTCATTTTTTACTGGCTGTTCTCAGAGCAGACATGTTGTTGCGCTAAAAAAATTTCAGGTCGCCGATTCTGGAATGTGTTAAGGAGGTTATGGAGATGATGTGAAGGTAAGCAAGAATTAAAATTCTCAGGCTGGCCATGGCAATATGTAGCAAGAGACAAATATCCTACATTCAAGGCCATGTAAAGAGAATTTAGGCGAATTTCCCTTTTCTTGGTTTGCCCATAGACTTTGTATATGATTCGGGTCAATGTATGGCTGCCTGGCGTAATGGCAACGCGTCTGATCACGATGTGCTCGAAAACGGCAAAGGGAGGGGGAGAGAACGGGGAGAGAAATAACTAGGAGTACTGTGGGGCAGCACGGGGACATTTATAGAACATTTAGCCGCCTGGCGAAATGGATCGCGTCTGACTACGATATGTAGTGAAATCAGGAGACTGCAGGTTCGACCCCTGCGGTGGTCATCGTTTTGTAACTTTCCGTGTGCGTATGTGAATTCTTTGTTTACGTAAAAAGACAAAGGATAAAGATTGAATGTCCAAGTGGCTGTGGCCGAACTGATCTCCCGCACGATCTTCTGGTAGGACCCACAATGACTTGAGCCAATGGAGGACGAGTCGGTGAACATTCCGTTCATTTACCTACCATCCCAGTACGATGATATTAGGGAACAAACCCTTGGTAAAGAGACGGCTGGACCACCTGGTGGCTCTCAATAAACGATGCTCGTCTGATACCATGCGATCTGTACGCTTTAGTTACGAAACCAATACCCATACGCTTTCCATACGGACGCCATTACTTGTTTACGAAAGTAATTTCTTTTTTGTATCACACTGCCCCGTGACTAGCACACCATATGAGACTGCATCTGGCATCTGTTTAGATCCTAGAGGAAGGTTCCTATTGTAATTCTCACGACTATGTAGTAATATACAACGTATCTTAGAAAGATAAGAATAAGCGTTGCGCTAGAGATCTAACATACAGTATTATTTACTCCCACTTCCGTAGCATGTTCCGTACTGATCCCTGTCGAATTGGAATCATCCTTTTCGTTACTTCTCCGAGGCCCAGACGAACTTTCCTGCTCTGAGTTAGGCGTCTTGGCGTTTTGTCGCTGCATTTTTGACAAGATTTCTAATGCTTCTTGGATGTATGGCGATCTTCTTTGGAGCTCCGGACCCCAACGCAGATATATCAAGGGAATCGGCCAAAGCGCCACTGCGGCGAAGCCAAAGACAGAAACTGGCCAAACTCAATACAGATCCCGGTGTCTAAAATTTGAGAATAGGTTACTTACTTCCCCTGAAAGGATATATTAGTTGTTTTAATGATGACCCTATTACTGGTACTCACCATTTGGTACCAAGGCGGTTTATAATAATATGTGAAATAAGCGGGAAAATAGCTCCTATAATAGAGCGTGAAAAGGCTGTTGCTGCCCCGGCACTTGCGGTATACAAAGTGTAGCAGGTAGCGAAACTGGAAAATGTCACATTAGCTCACAAAATCTAGCGTTTTGCAGAGAAAGAAAACATACTAAGTTGTGAAAGTAAAGAAGAGTGTGATGTTTGCATATCCGAAGAGTGCACCTGCTAAAGTTGGAACTATCCAGTGAGTCTCAGGGCCACTTGTCCTAGAACAAAATAAGGTAGTATGAGACACCATAACGAAGTTGTGAAGAATAAGAATCATACCATGCAAGCCAGAATGAAGAAGCAGGAAGGAAAATACTGCAGAAACACACATACATTTCAATTCGATAATTTGTGAATAAATGACGTACCAAGAGAGCAGAGCAAGTTTCAGCACAGCTTCTTTGGAATCCAGTCCAACATCACCCATCCACTTCGGTATTTTGACCTTTTTGAAGGCTGTCATAATTTGACTGTAAGGTAAAATCGCACATAGCATCCCAATTATAATTGGAATAAAGGGTAGGCCCGCCAGTTGGGTCGATATATGGTGCTAGGGATAAGGTAAGTATATAAGAACTGATTAGTGAATATAAACTTATACCTGTCCAATAAATATCACGGGATATGCTTCTAGGGAGAAACTAGCATAATTCACAGTCAATAAGTCAATGAAAGTGTTAGAAAGGTACCTACTATAGAATACCAAACCCTAATGACTGCCAGACTGCCGCTCCAGTTATAATAGGCTCAGTAACAAGCATGTCTATCGACTTAAGTTCAACGTCATCTCAAATAAAAATAGAGCATCAAAGACATACGTAATGGTCGAATAAGCGCAATCCGAACGAGCTCTCCCGGAGTCTTGTGCGTTAACTCGTGATGAGCATAAGCACGCGGGTTGCCTGCTTTCCGTAGCCTCTTTGCACGATTCGATAAAATAGTAGGCTGATGAGTTTCCGAAAGGAAAACAAGAAGGGGTGCGAAGCCTATAAGCATGAAGAAATGGATGCGAAGCACCCAGAATCTATCAAAAATTAGTCCAACTTCAATGAATCGCCGCGGCATACAAAGCTGAGATACTCACCCGTGTTGCAAATTGACTGCAACGAAAAAACCGATGATTGGTCCAACCACTGGGGCGGTGAATGCGGATAAGACGCTAAGAGCGCTGATAGTAAGTTTATGTGGCAGGAAACTAGGTAACCATCCCCTACAAATACCCAATAGCTAGAGGAGACGTCAGTATACAATCGTGCTGTGCGACTATTTAACTTACCAATTCCTTGAGCGCGCAAATCTACTTCACTAAATAGACTGGGGACACTTATCAACGTGCTCATGATTAATGGCTGGACTGAACTTACTCAGATCCGATTGCTTGGCCACTGCAGAACATCAGTATCATTATTTCCGATACATAAATGAAAGAACCCACAGCGTCAATGGAACAGAAGCAATGAACCCGGAAAAGAAACGAAACACCATGATGACTTCTAGCTGATCCACCCATGCAGTTGGGGCAGTACACGCTGTGTAATGTCAGAAAGAGGAGAAGATAAAAACGCAGATCCTCCTACCTATAAGAAGCGGCCATCCAATGAAGTAGACGATGCTGCGACCGTACATTTCACTCAGCGGGCCTATAGTCGTGATATCAGAAAAGGAAGAAAGTTTACGAGGAAACTAAATACCCCCTGCGAATTAACCAATTTAATTTCAATGAAAATATGCGCTAAACAAATTGAATGTTCCTTACAGATTAATGGACCGAATGCAAATCCAAGGACATATAACGATAGCCCTAAACTTGCAAGAGTTTGGCTCACACCATATCTCTCAATGATCTGTGTCTGACCGGGAGCCTGCATAAATAGTCAATAAATAAACGAGATATTTTAGAAGAAATTATATATTGAACTGACCCAAAGACTAGACCCAATTACACTATAGCAGATACTCATGAATTTCCCTTCCCCCGCATGGAAACATAGAACGTACCTAACAAAAACCAGTGAGCAGACAATAAACATCGTCCATTTCTTCTTGAGGGGACTCCAATTCTTCGGGTTCTTTCGATCATCATCCTCGAAAACGACTATTTCTGCTTCTGATGGATCCATGGGTGCTGTCGATTTCATGGCGAGTATAGCAAACTGACTATATGGTCAAGTCAAGGAAAGAATTCACAACCCAAGCTCGAGCTCGCCGCATGGTTTTATACAGGTATTTAATTGAGGGATACATGTTGAATAACCCGAGATATCGGTGGGAATTGACCATTAGAAACCAGATTTACCGGATCGGGACGTCATGATATACGACCTATCGCATCGAATTTAGGAACTCTGTGACTGCATGAATTCGACAGAAAATATAGCCCTACTCAATTCATGTGTTCCCTAATTCCCTCGCACGTTCCCAAGTTACGGCGGCCGATGATTTGGTGCTAACGGACTGCCGAGGGAACTTTAAGAAATGATTTGATGTTCCCTAGGGTTTTACCTCGATCTGCCTGAGTCTGACTAAGTCCGACCTTGCATAACGTAAGCCCGCCGTGCTGCACTGTAGCATAATGGACCCGCCTCACAACAACAGGTACTGGCAGCAGCAACCTCAATATTCTTATTCCCTTGTAATGGTCGTCTGCCTGGTACACAGCCGAACATTTACAGTCTGAAATCAAACTAATTGGGGCGTCCTGAATTTCGATGTAATTTTCGTCTAATTTCCAACTAAGTCACACAGGTGATCTGCAGGCTTTGCCTAGCCGGTCAATATCAGATGTCCAGGTTGGAGGATTTCAGAGGTTTGGGCGTCTCTACGAAATTATCCACCTCGCTGAATAATCCACAATCGCACAACCAAATCGAGAAATCATGTTTGAAAGCATTTTTATTTTTACAAATAATCATATATTTGCTGTTAAGAAACATGCTGTGAGGAGCGTAGAATACAATATATAATCTATATCTGTAATATACTTCCTTTGAAACTGATTCCTCTTCGGCGAACATGACAACCCTTCGCCGTATGGTCGAAGGCTCAAAATTTGCTGAAGCCTGGATCCATGTTAGTTAACATTTGATTAGGGTCTTGAAGATGAGAAACTCTCACTTTACATAGCACAATGGGCGTGCCCAATCAATATCACTTATACTTGCTGGTTAATATACTGGGACTTGTCTCCATCTCGCGGCGGCCTGAAAAGTGTGATGTTTTCAGCTTTTCGCATAATCTCGATGTTAATGACAATAATACACACCTTTTGAGCAGCTATTCTCAATAACAGACGATCAACTGCCCACAGCGCCACTGGACTCTGTCCAAGACCACCCCGGGTGTCACAGGCTCTTAGCAACAAGACCAACAGGTAGCTCAGCCGGGGGATAGCCAATAGTCGCAGAATAGACCCAGCAGAAGCAGCAGTAGATTGCACAGAATCTCAGTCAGCAGCTGTCAGTAGCAGCAACAGATGATAGCTCAGCAAGAGCAGGTCGCCATAGCGTTCGGGTGTTTGTAGGATGGTTTGTGTATCGCTCAAGCCTCAAGCATGGAGCAACAGAGAGCCACAGAGAGTAACATAGCAGGAGCGAGCTTCAAGAGAGACAAAGAATGTTGATCCCATGGACAGGACTTGATCGCAAGAGATGGCGGTGGTGGCTTGAACGATGTTTGGAGTTTGAGTCACGTCACATGTCACACTTTCGACGCAAAGTTCCGAGTCGTAACAGATATACGTTTCTATATTCTAAACCCATTGTAACTACTGTACATGACCCTGTAGGATTAGGATTCGATACACCGGCGGCTGAATTCAACATGCTACCCCAGATGCCAGCACTGCGTGTCACATGGCTGGGGAGAGACGACATGGGACTTGGAGTTTGGATATGAGCCTGGCCCATAGCTGTAGTGTGACCGAACGCACATACCAGAACACGTGAGTCCTTGAACGTTTGAAATCAGGAAGCTGGCTCCGAACGGACGATTTCTGACAGGGCCAAGCCAGCCTCACACAAGGAAATCCAGTGGATTCGATCGGC